CCAATGAAAATGAAGAAAAAAAAAGGCGTATAATGATAATTGTATATATTCCCCTGGTGAAATTCCCCAGTTTGCGAAATTTGCAATTAATGTTCAGGCGTTTTCAGCAGGATAGATCTTTTTAATTGATTTGAACAAACATTTTGAACAGACTAACCAGATTTCAACATTGACAGATTTATTTTAACGTTTAAAAGCGTAGAACTGAGCCTCGTGTAAAAACATTCGAATTGTAATAAAAACAATAGCCTCAGGTCGTGAAAATATGCAGGAATATATGACCTGTTGTTACTTCTCGGAAGAGATCACGTCCAATGACAAACTTCTGTGCATATTTTTGCGTCAAATTTTAGGCTATTGTTTGTATGTATGTCAAAAAGGAGGCGAGTGTTTTTTTCTAGAGAATCTTCCCATAATTCAGCGTTGGTTATAAGAGGTCATGGGTTCGATTCCCATTGAGGACTCAGATTTCGAATTGTCTGACGCTTGTGACGCGATTGACATTACATCATTTTATTTTCTAGTAGTAATTTAAATACTAAAATGGACTTCTTAGTGACTACGTTTGACTAGTTGGCTAGAATCTTTTTTCAGTATTTATATAATAAATAAGACTTAGAATAGGGCCTGGACTCGGCTTATTACAAAAAAAAATTGTATACAATAGGCAATGCCGCCATCCTCATTATCACTGTTCATCAGTAACGTTTAATACATCCCATTATCGAGATCTTCGTCACTAAAATCGTTCTCGTCATCATCGCTGGCATTATCTTTAAAAACAACCTCCTCATGAATTGTTTCAGAGTCAACAAAATCAGCCATGTAATTCCTAATTTGCCGTGAAGGGGTACTGAACTGGTTAAATAGATTACATGCTGTGGACAGATGTACACGCTCATAATTAAGATCCCTTTTCAAAACTGAGAGCAGACCTTTTAACAAGTTAGAAGTTTCACATTGCTCATATGATCTCAATGTAGAAAGGCGGCTTTCCAGCAGTAGACATTCATTGAAAAAAGTGGTAATTACATTAGCCATTTCTTCTTTCAAATACTGGGTCTCTAACTAAGGTGTGGGCGTCAACAGCAGCTCGTTTAACAACCAAAGGAAACTGATCGTCATCTGGGAAGTTAATTGAGTAGATACTACTGCTGACAACACTTGCTTCTTCCCAAGTGAGGGGTTTGAATGAAGAGTGCCCCTTTTGGTTAAGGATTTCAACAGAGGAGTTATATTTCTTAAGTTGTTTCTTTAAGTTGCTGGTTTCGCTGGTGATACTTTTCGCCAACCGTTTTGCTTGAGCCTGTCCATCTGAAAAAGGAATGTCAAAAAATAATCAGCAAAACCCATCCAAAAGTAATCAAATTGAAAACGTCTTACTTAAAGGTCCAAGATTACGTAGAATTCTTTGTATCTGACAATAATGGTGCGCAAAATAGTTCCAATGATTGGAGGTACTGCAGCTGGAGGTGAGAAATAAATGTGTGTTTTTTCAAGGACATACTTCTCTCACCTGTTCCAATCGTATGTATCATAGCTACCCCACACTCCTGAACAAGCAAAATATACCTGTATATTTCTTCTTTAGGGAAAGGAGAAACCAACGTCTTCTACCAGAAACAAGCATCATATCCAGAGTCTGCTTTGCTTTAACTGCTTCGGTGGTGATCAAACTAGACTGATACTGAGCATCTGATAGCAACCAACGTGTTTGGATATTATTCTGGTGTTCCATCTTGAGGAGGCGTTCATTGATACTGTAAAAAAAAAGTTAAAAAAAAAAGAATGGAAAAAGGGTCTCAGTACTTGGAACAAATTGAAAAGAGAGAACAGTTTTTTTAAATTGCTATTTGAAGAAAACACCGCCTCTTGTTTATACTAACTTGTTCATAAGTCCAATGAGGTGAAGAGTTTGCGAACCACCCGCACCACTCGCAAGACTGTCACTGTGTGTGAGAAACAATACAAAACAAACAAACTATTACTATCACCATCACTATCACCGTCACCCTCGCTACATTCACTGTCACTGCAACCGTCACTATTAAAAAGTATTCTTTATTATTTTTATAAGTAATATTATAAAGACTAACGTTGACCCAGCCGTTTTGGACCATAAAATGTAGGGGTCGTCGGCACATTCAATATCGTTTTAGGAGTCATGTAAGGTTGCCCTATCTTCCTTGTTCTTTAGTTGTTCTTTAACACTTAAGGAAGTTTCCCAAGTAGACTAACTAGGTACTTCTGTATTATTTTGGTCATTTGTTTGTTTCTTGCATGACTTATAAAACATAAAACAAAAACGGACCTTAGAAAGCTTTATGAAAATAAACAAATGTAATGTTCTCTTACCGTGTCAAATAGTATTGCTGTAAAAGGGACAAATAGGATAATACCCATGCATGAGGTCCCAAGTCAACTGTAAAGAAACAAGACAATCTAGTGCTACATAAAGCCATTTTCAACGACATACACTGCATAATAACATAAGGCCTTATTGAGGTCTATTGAACCAACAAGACAAGTGATTGACTAAAAAAAAAATCTATATTCACGTACACTTAACTGTGTACTCTATGTTGCAAAATAAGCTATAAAAATTATGTAGGAAAAATGGTTATGGAAAAACATACCGTTATCTGCCTTTGACTTCTTAAGAATATCTGCTTCATTTTCCTTCCATTGTAAAATCATTTGCTTTGTCAATGGAACTAGACAATAAACAATACAATATCTCTGATTTACTATAATTATATTCCTGCTAACCATTCAATAATACACTTGTACAAGTAAATTTAATCAAACAAAAGGTGATAATGCTCACAAATGATCTTTAAAATAAAATGCATTCAACTGAATGTCTCGAAGATACAAGCTGGAAGTTGTCAAGAGTTGTACCATTAACAATTCCTTATTTGTCCTTTACACACCCAGCCAGGTAACCTAGCCCAACCAAAGTACATAAAAACAGAAAAACAAAAAAAAGAAAACAAACTTACTAGGTGGCTTTTTCTGAAGTTCGTCCAATTCCATTTTGGCAGAGTTAGAAAGGTCAGAAACTCTCTTGCTCTGATTTATTAGAAGTGAGACTGCAGGTGTTACAAGCAAAGATGGAAAGGCAGATCGGTATTTGAAATCACCTACAGTGCGAATATGCTGGAAAGAAATATTCATTGCTTTCTCCAAGTCAAAATGCATTGCAGTAACTATAATTATAGAAGGATAGATGGATAGATGCATGATGGATACTTTCAAGTGCTTCTCAAACATCATTAAATCATTTTGGAGTTTAGTTTGAAAAACATGTGGATACTTGGTAAAGTTAAATACTTTAATATGCACCACAGTTTATGTTGTCCTACCTATTCTGGATTTAAGCTTTTTTGCAAGGTAGAATAAAGCATCGGACAATACATCCTCCCTATGACTTGATGACATCTCCTTGGTCATCTTTCTAAATAGGCCAAGGTATGACCAAAGCCTCTCCAACATTTCTCCATCAACCAAACCCCATCCTTCCAATCTACGTGTACTATACAGCAGCTACATGTATAGGTACAAAAAATGTAGATTTACAATCATATTATTAAATTGAATTTGTAAAATTTAAATTTAAATTTTTGTATATAATTCATACTTTTTAGATTTTGTAATTGTAAATTCTATGACTGTAAATTTCTTTATTGACTTTTTTGATGCTTTTTATACTGGTCACCGATTAATACCAGTCAATCTATATCTTGATTGACTGACCAGTCTTTACCAGGATAAATAAAGTTATTATTATTATTATTATTATTATTATTAATTTGACACAAATGCAATATTCTACTCAAAATTCTCAGTCAGTTATCAGGTCCCTTGGAATGAATGTATACAAGTTTAACATTCAAAAATATTTAGATAATCTACATTACTTTTATGCTCTTCCTAACCTGACATGTAGCACCATGGCCATATACATGAAACTGGGGACAGGCCATCTGTATATTAGCTACAAGGTCTACAAATTTCTGTTTCTGCAAAGTAAGAAACAACAGATGTACAACATATTGTGGAATTTAATGCTGATATCTTGAATTTTACACAGTGGAAGTTGTTGGTTCCCAATCTTGCTCCAGTGTCTCTGATCAACCTCCAACTGCCACAAAAAGCAACCATTTTAAAACCCAATCCAATAGACCATATTCGTATTCCTGGTATCAGACTGGAACTAGCTTGCATCTGAGGCCAATGAGGGGAGTCTTTTCAAATGCAAATTACATTACCGTATTTACTCAAATAAGCGCCGCAACACTTATTTAATTTTTCGTGTCTCC